TTCCTCAACACCGAAGAAAGTTCCCCTGGATAAGTGGCGAATGTTGTGTTTTGCATGACAACATCCACACGCACATCGTCCTCCACAACGAAGTTCCGCGAGTGCAACGAAGCCTTTAGCCCCGCAACGATGTTCCTGGAAAAATCATCAAGCCTCGGGATATTGAAGCGAAAAAACACAACCTTGACTTCTTTTTGAACCGCCGCAGACCGAGCAGCGCCACATGGAAGGGGCAGCAGCAGCAGAAGAGGGAGGACGACGACGACAAGGACAAGAAGGCACGGCGCCGCCGCAGAGGGCCGCAAGCCCAGCTGCGCACAGCAGCCGCGCCGCCCCCAACACACCGCCATAACCGCTGCTGCCCTGCAACTGTCTTGCTGTGTAGCCTGTGGATTCCTACAGCAAAGAAATGGAAAGCGGGAGAAGGGGGAAAGACAGACACGGTGCACAGGAGGCGGCGGAGGAGAAAAGGAACCGTCTTGTCTGCAACAGCCGCAGACTGCCTTTTGAGCGGGGAGGCCAGAAACGCCAGTGCGCACGCCTGGGCACAACCCTGCAGCAACAACGGAGCGGGTTGTTATTTACATCGCCTCCCACGCCATCGCGGTCGCCCCGCACAGCTGCGCGATACATCGCTGCGAGGACGCCTGTGCGCGCCGCGCGGCTGCCCGCGCCCTTCGCGTGCCTCCGCGTCAACCAGCGCGCGACGCACCCAACGCCCACGGCCAACACTTGGCCGCACTCGTGGCACCGGCGCTGTCGCACCTCGCGCGCGACGCACGGCCGGAGGAGGGCGGGGCGCAGCAGTCGAAAGACGGGGCACCCGACACACAAACGGCACCGCACCACCACGCCGGGGAGAGGGGCCCTGCAGGGGCGCAAGCGGCAGGGCCGGATCGGCGCCGCATCCTCCACAAGCCAGGCAGCCCCAGCGGGCAGCCGCGGACGCCGCTCACAGCCGCCGCGTGGATCACGGGGGGGACTCGGCGCCGCCGCCTCCCACGGCCGCGGCTGCCGCCCGCAGCTGCGCGTCACCATCGTCGCCGGCCCGCCCCTCCGCCCGCTCCGCCCCCGCGCCAGCAGACGGCACGCGCGCCGGCCCGCCGCCAGCAAGGGCGCCCTGCCTCACCGCCTCCCAGCGGGCCGCGAAGTGCTCGCGGATCCAGCCCGCCGCGGTGTCGCCCACCTGCGCGAGGGGCGCCCTGAACCGGGGGGGAATCGCGTACGCCATCGCCCCCGCCCCCGCGCCGTCCCCGCCCACGCCGGGCTCCGGCTGCAGCCTCAGCACACGCATCAGCTCCGCCACGCCGCCCTCCGTGAGAGCGTCCACCACCTGCGGGGGCACCAGCAGCAGAAACGGCGCGGCGGCACCGCCGAGGAAGTGGCTGTACGCCCTGTAGAAGAGGTCGCTGAAGGCATCCAGCACCAGCGCCTCCTGCGCCCGCAGCCGCTCCCTCGGCGCCCGCAGCTCCGCCGGCAGCTCCTCTCCGCCGTCGCCGCCCCTCGCCGCCGCCGCCGCGTCCGCCCCCGCCCCCGCCGCGGAAGACACCGGCGCCTGCGACCGCGACTCCCTCGAGCGCGCCGCCCGCGTCTCCGCCGGCCGCTCGCCGCGCATGTACGTCTCGCGGAAGAACTCGTCGCGGGTCACGAGGAAGTACGCCTGGTCGGCGGTGCGCAGCGCCACGTCCTCGTCGAGGTCGCCCTCCTGCGCCGGCTCACCGAACTTCGGCGCCAGGTTCACCGGCATCTCGCTCGCCGAGTTGCGGTCCGCCACCCGCAGCGAGCCGCACCACAGCAGCCACAGCCGGTCCCTCGCGTCGCTCTTGAAGTAGAGCACCATCCGCGTGATGTACTTGTGCTCCGTGTAGAAGAAGTGCGTCACGATGTCGGCGCACACGCTCTTCACCTCGAACGCGACGTGTGCCGAGACGGCGCCCTCCTCGCTCAGGTACTCCGGCCCCTCGTACGTCACGGTGATGGCAAAGGGGTCGTTCTCCGCGCGCTTGCGGTCCGCGATGGGGAACTTGTTCGTGCGCCGCTGAATCATGGCGACGCGGGGGCTCCACACCGCCCTGATGACGCTGTTGTGGTACCCCTTCGGGAACACGAAGCGCTGCAGGATGCCCGCCCGCTTCGTCTTGCGCGCGATGAAGCCGCCGACGCTCTCCGTGTTGAGCACCTCCACCTGCGTGGTGGTCTCGCTGGCGCCGCCGCCCACGTCCTCCTCCAGCGTCGACAGGTACGTCGCCACGATGGGGCACGTCTCGCTCACGCCCCGCTTGAAGCCCGCCTCGATCGTGGCGGCGTCGAGGTCCTTGCCCTGCCGCCGCGTCACCTCGCGCGCCCGCACGTCCGTCGTGTACCACCCGCGCGGGAAGTTGTGCTCGTACACCACCGTGTCGGGCACAAACACGTTGCGGCACGGCTTCATCGTCTTGGGGTTGCGCTTGCAGAGCAGGTCGTAGAAGCTCGTGACGACGTCGTCCCCCTCCATCGGGTGGTTCTTCATCCACGCGTCCTCCGTCCTCCGCCCCTTCCGCGCCATCGCCCCGCCCGGCCGCTTGCTTTGCTTCTCTGCGCAGAGACCACGCCGCACAAACTACGCCGTGTGTGCGGCAAGCGAGGAGAGAGAGGGTGCGGGCAAGAGAGGGCGGCAAAGGAGAGAGAGAGGGGGGCGTGGGCGGCGCCAAGGCAGAGGGACACGTGCACCGCAAGAGAAGGAAAGAGGGAGTGGGTGAGGGAAGGGGAGGTCGATTGCGAGTGCGTGCCTCCACAACGCCACAGCGCCGAGAAAGCAGGGGGCGGGGCACCGGGGGCAGGCGGCGTCCCCTCCGCTACGAGAGGCCGGCCCGCTGGCTCTCGTGCAGCTTCGCCAGCGGCACCTGCCTCAGCGGGACGCCGAGCACGTGCCTGCGCCCGCCCCTCAGCGCCGCCTGCTGCACAAAGACGGCCTGCACCACCTCGCGCCGACGGCGCCCGCGTCGGTGATCGGGCGCACCGCCGGCGGCACCCGCATGCAGTATGTCGTACACCTCCCGCCTCCGCACCGCGATGGGCGCAAGCACCAGCAGCGCCACCACTGAGATCACCGCGGCAGCGCCCAGACCCGCCACCGCGGCGTAGCCCGCGTCGAACTGGCGCGCGTCCGCCTGCGCCACCGGGACGCAGCGGGCCCCGTCCTCTGCCGGCGTGGTGTACGAGCACGCGTACCCGTTCGGGGTGCCGCGGAGGCGGGTGGAGTGGCACATGCCGTCGAAGCAAAAGGCGCACCCGTTCCACGCGTCCCTGCCGCACACCTCGCAGCCGTCGAGCGAGTGGCGCCAGCAGGGGTCGTTGAGCACGTCGCAGTTCGCCCCGCCCCACCCCGCCGCCGCGTCGCAGCGGCACACCCCGCACTCGCAGTACCCGCCGCGGCGGTTGCAGTGGCCGCAGTCGAACGGCCCCTCGCACCGCACCTCGCACTCCGCCCCGCTGAACGGCTCCGGGCACCGGCAGGCACCTGTCCCGTTCACGCCCTCGTCGCACTCGCCCCCGTTCACGCAGCGGCGGCACGGGCGGCACCCCGGGCCGTAGCTCCCCGCAGCGCACAGCTCGCACGCGGCACCGCTGAACCCGGCGGCGCACACGCACCGCGAACTCGCGGGGTCGCACGTGCCGCCGCGCCCGCAGTCGTTGCACCTCCTCGTGGGGTCAAAGCGGATCCGCGTGCCGGTGCGAATCAGCGACGGCGGCACCATCACCGTGGCCGCGTCCTCCACGCGGTACCGGAAGAGGCCAACAAACGGCGGCGGGAACGCGAAGAAGTCCAACGCGGGGGCGCTCGCCACCGCCGCCGCAACCGGCAGGCCGTAGCGGAACTCCACCGCGCCGCCCGCGTCGAGGTAGACCTGGTACGTCGCGGAGCGAGCGAAGGAGGCGAAGGAGGAGGCGTTGGCCACCTCCACCACAAACCCCGGGGGGCACGGCGGCCGCTGGCAGAGGACGCCCGCCCCGCTGCGCTCGGGGAGGCGCGCGTACGTGATGGACGTCCCCGGCCCCCACAGCCCCGCCGTGGCGAACGGCGCGACGGCGAAGGTGTAGTTGCCGTCGGGGCACACGTTCCAAATCGGCCCGCACCGCTGCGTCGGGGAAAAGACAGAAATGAGGCCCGCCGACAGCAGGTGCGTCGTGTTCGTCCTGTGCGACGCCTGGTCCCTCGTGAAGAAGGGGAAGTCGAACCCCAGCTCCAGCCGCAGCGACTGCCCGGCCGGCGCCGCCCGCACGTGCCCGCCCAGCGCGGCGAGGTCGACGAGCTCGGCGCCCTGCCCCACAGCCACCGCGTAAAACTCGTCGCTCACCGACGCCGCTCGAAAGCCCCCGTGCGGGCAGCGGCTGCCGGCGAGCGACGCCGCCACGCACTCCGCCGTCGCCGCGCACCACACGCACGCCCGCCCCGCAGCGGCGCAGGCGGGTTCGCCCACGGCCGTGGCGCACAAGTCCGCGACAGGCTCGTACCGAATCGCCGCGATGCCGACCGGACGCGGCGAGGAGGTCGCGACGACACGCTCGCGCTTCGACAGCACGAGGCCCACCGAGGCGCTGCCGCACGCGGGGACCCGGCGGTACCGCATCACGATCGTGCCGTTGGCCCACACCGCCACCTGCGCCGTCAGCGTCTCCGCCGCCGCCCCGCACGCAGTCAGCGGCACGTCGCGGTACTCCACCGTCACCCGCTCGTGCCCCGCGTCGCCGCCGGCGCCCCCCACGCCGTGCACCCGGACACTCGGTGACAGCCGCGCCGCCGGGGGGTTCAAGTCCGCCACGTACAGCCCTATCATCGGCCAGTCGCCGCCGCCGCCGTAGATCGCGCTGCCGAACTCGTAGTCCCCGAAGAGCGTGTCCGGCGCCGCGTCCGAGCAGAAGAAGCCGCACAGCGGCGCCGGCGTCGGCGCGAGAAAGCCGTCCGACGACACGTGCCACCGCACGGAGTCACGGCTGAAGAACGGCGAGGAGATGTTGAGCGCCTCAAAGTACGGCGCGTCGTTGTAGCCGGCGACGAAGGAGCCGCGCCCGCGCTCGAAGGCGGCCTCGTCGTACTGCGCCCAGTGATCGGCAGGGAGGCCGGGCACATCCTCCGCACGCACGGTCTGCGTGTCGTACCGCACAACGGCCGCCGCGCCGCGCCGCCGCGCCGCACAGAGGCAGCACAGCAGCAAAAGTATGTACATCGCAAAACACTAGGAGGCAACCAACTCCTGCGCCGCGGAAGAGCCGCACGCACACGAAGAGAAGCAGAGAGATCAGCAGCTCGCACTGGCGGCGACGGCGGCGGCGGCGAACGCACGCACGCCGGCACAACTCCCGCGGCCGCCCCGCCAGCAACCCGGCGAGGGGCACCGCACAGGAGCAGGGAAGCAGAAGCGGGGGGCACGCAGCGCACACGCGGCCGTTAGGAGGAGAAGGTGGAGCCGAAGAACGGGGAAACAACGGCGGGAGAAGAAACGGGGGGTACTCGAATTACAGCCAATCCCTCAGGGTTATACATGCACCCGCAGGAACCCGGCGCCGAGCCAAACCCGTCGCACGGTGCCGCGGGGGGAGGGGGGAGCGTCAGGGGCGGCATGGTCAACGCCGCCCCACACACACGCACACACTTACTTACATGGGGACCACACGCATATAC